CTAAAAGAATGGCGTCTCTTCTGTATGGACTCATCCGGTCATTCATACTCAACTAAAACCAATATTAAATAACGTGATATTAATAATCTGAAAAAATTGGGCATTGAAAAGTTTAGGGGATATGAAGAAATGAATTCATTACTACAAAAAAGACATAGAGCTTACTACTAAATTGTTGGCGTTGTCTTCGAGTTTGACGTGACATTACTGATCTCTCACTAATAACAGGAAAAACTCACTTTTCCACTAGCATATTCATATATTAGGACGCTCACAAGAATACATACTGCATGTTCATCTTGTTCACCACAAGGGCGACTAGCGGAACTAAAGATCTTATGTCAGAGGTTAATAATAAGTCGACGTTCCCCGGTCTTAGAAACAGGACTATAAAAAAGCTCAACACGAAACCAGACAATGAACCCCACAGGGGTATGTATAGCATGGACAATTCAACACGAAAACATAAAGCGAATTCACCGCCAAGTAATCAGGATCACACCCAGGTCCCTACTTCTAATAAAATAAACAAGCAAAGAACAAATTAGAGGAAAGGAGCATCACAAACCGCTAATGGTACAGACTACTGATGGGATATAACACAAAAATAAGAATTTTGCCACAAGCTTGTCGATCGTTAAAACCGCGGACAGCATTTTAATGTAATTTCTTGTAGTGGCAGGGTTCTCTATCACTGGTCCTACTTACGTAACAGTTTTTTTATCTATAATAAATATATTGTTATATCTCCAGCCTAAATGTGTTTTTCACCGCAAATTAAGCGAAGACCCTGTGTTAGACGAGTCATAGAACGCTTGCTACTGGCCAGACGGTGAGCCCATAACAATTTGAAAGTCTCCATGAAGGATTCTAATCTTAGCTTTTTCTTGGCATTGAGAGCCATTAGAGTCTGCAGTAATAGGGTATGTTTTCAGGCCAAGCTAGCAGCTAAAATCCAAGATGACCCCGAATATCTCTACTGATTCATGGCCAGGAAGAAGCACACAAGCCAAGGGATCTGTGCTCTAAATAAGTCATGTGGATTCGATCTCAATAGCTTAGAGGTGTCAAAGGTCTTTAGTGCCAGCTTCATAGACCAACTAAACTAGGAGCCTGGAAGCGTGAAGTACCTCTGAATTATAGTGGTGGTTTAGGGTCTGTGAGATATTCAGCTAACCTTTGGATTAGTATGTAGTGACTCACATTTATCACGAGAACACGACTGGTTTAATAAAAACAATTATTATTATAACCAACTGTACCAGTGTTTGTTTTAATGTGCTCTTGTTTAACTGTGCTAATTATAGCCATTTTGTGCTTCCATTACTTTCCATCATTGTTCCGCAGTTTTTGGTACTGTTCGCACGTACTCCTGTCTTCTACTTCCACTTGTACCATTCCTTGGCACGATCTCGGTATTCGTTCAATACCACGAGATCGCCAACTAAATAAATCTGGTTACGTTCAACCTCCGCCTTCTGATTTACCTGGCACGTGTTTCTTGGTAGCGGTGCTCATAGTTAATCTCAACTTGGCACCACGCTACAAGTATTTCAGAAACTCCATGAAAATCCACTCTTTATTTTCTTCTCAAAGCTTAGTCTTGTATTTGTAAGCACCAAGCGCTTATATACACGGTAAACCTACGTAAGGGATCCAGACATGGCTAGCGCAACTCTTCACTTTATGCATGGACAACTTCACACAGTCGAATCAGTGTTGTTCTTAACACTGCTTAGAATGTGCGCATGGCTCCAGCTTGACGTCCACACTCTTTTCGCTCTCTCTCTCTCTTCAAAAGTGATACAAATCTGCTAGGCCAATAAAAAAGGGGGAAACCAAGTGAGTGATAAAGTTCAAATGTAAGTCTAGCGACTACAGATTCCATCACCTGTGATTATTCACGTTCACCTTAAAAAGAATTCTATGTGATTTGATATCAGGATGCCATCACTTCTCTTTAACAGTTACTCCACTAGGAAATGCTCTCCCAGCCGGAGTGATCTCAATGTCCTCTGTGAATGAAAATTACAAGGATATTTCCAATTCAGCCGCAACCTTTACGCTATTTGATCAGGGCCTTTAAATTACTTGATCACAATTTTTCATCTGATGTCCTCTTATCCTTTCAATTTTTCAGTAAAGAAAATCTACGGGGAAAAATTTGGAAGCCTGGTAATTAGTTGCATGTTGGTTGACCAGTGGTTTTTCAAATTAAATAATGTAAAGAGGAACTCTCTGCGCTAGTGCCTGGGTAATGATCCAGTTTTTGACTCATAATGTTATGGTGGACGTTCACTCTCAAAACCATTTCGAGGAAATCGGCCTTATTTTCTCCTAGATACGAATCTCTGTTCGATAATTTTTATACGCGTTTAATGATATCTGCAAAATATTTGAAGCAAAAATACTTACAAATACGAAAAATGATCATGTCACTGTATGTTTCCATAGTGTGGACGCTGAGTTGTCATCTTGATGTAACTTAATAGAACATGTGTAGTTCATTAATATTGCTCTACATATGGCTAACATGTCGATGAGATATTTTTTTGGTTTACATCGGTTAAAATGGCAAGGCATGTCCGTTGAATATATATATAATTCATGTTACGGTTAAAATAACAGTGGGTGGACCAATAAAATTACGAGAATACCTTGACTCAGTGAATACTTCAAAGTGGATAAAAATAATGAGATAATTGGACATTAAAAATATATGAGTTACTAGTTCTTATAAAAAATGTTAATCCACAGGCTCAAATATATATTCAAAATTCCCATAATGCAGAAAAACCTGCAAATAATGACAAAAATTGTTTACAACTAGATTCTTTCGACCAGCTCCCCAACAACATTAGAGTTATATACCAATCTGACGTCCCCCCCGGCTAGGGAAGAAAAAGCATTAAGAAGGAATCTTTTGCTTAAATCTGTTAGTCCGAACTCTACTGTTAAACGCAGGGAAGATATTAAAGAGAAGTTTAAGATGAGCCGACAATGAAACCTTAGCTTAAAGTTGTAGGCTTAGGTCTTATTGAAGCTTAGAAAATTCCCCGTGTCTACATGGAATGCTAAAACGGGAATTGGATGTTTGTCGTTGACTGTGGCAGGCCTTATACGGTAGATACAAGCGTTTGTCAGGGTAACCATCGAACGCTTGTGACACGCTGTTTTTTGCCATTGTATGCTTCTGTTAAACGTAAGCAGATGAACTCCTGCAGATAAATTCAATCAATTACGAAGTATAGACCTTATGGATGATCACAATCTTGGACACCGGAGTCTATGGGAGACTTTATGTATCAGATTGGCGGTTTCGTTCCCCAAACGAAGTTATCAGTTTTTACAGATCAAAATAATCCCGAAAATGTATAAGCAACAGGTGTGATAAATATGACGTGCACCTCGCGATGATACTGGAGACTAAAGTCAACAACTATTAATTAGTAAAGCTTCCAGAATCTACAATACTTATTTTTGCGTAATATTGTTTACGATAAAAAAACATGGCCTGGAGTTTAAGAATGTGTAGAGACTTGACAGGAGCCATTCATTATAAGTTCTTCGTGATTGTATGTTTTACTTAACGATATATGGAACTTGTAAACAAATGTCATCTATCTTTATCGGTAGTTGTGATGCATCAATAATCTTCTATGCAGTTTCGATTTTCGTCTTCATAGTTTCATCAAGAGTTACATGGATAATCTTAAGGGGCTACTGTTTGTGAAATTCAGGAACAACTTATAGCATCTCAAGTGCAATTGATTTTGTTCACATCCAGTTTGATTAAGTCATTTTGTCAACTTATTTAACGGACCGATTCATTCGTACAGTAACAAACTATCTATATCATTTTACCTTTAGTATTGCTGCGAATGTATGATTCTGTATACTTGAGCATTGCTTACTTTCTGCCTATTCATATATTCATTCTGCCAGCTTTACCATTAAATATTTAATTGACTCGATGATTCATTCATTTCCCTATGTATATACATTTATTACTATTGACTCGACTCTCCACTCTGAGCTATCTGCTGATAAATGTGTAGTCGCTGCTTCTTTTTTGACTTCAGATTTCAAACACCTTTAAGGTTTATATAATGACGGTTACAAAGGTGATTGGTTAACGAAGCACAGCCATTTTTTTCATTATGAAATTTTGTAGTCCATAACACTATCGTTCATTGAATTGTCAACGCATATGCCATCAAGTTGCCCTATTTAGATCTACAGGAAACCTGAAAGCTGCTGAAGTTCGGGAAATACTTCCGAGT